CCCGCGTACAGGCTGAAGAGGCAGCAGCAGCAGAGCAACTGCAGCTACAGGCCGATGCAGACGCAGATGCCCAGGCTCGTCGCAAGGAAGCCCAGGATCTGCTGCAGCGGCATGAAGCCAACAGCATCGACAGACTCAAGTTCTGGCATTTTGAACCGAACGGCGACGAGGCAACACCGAAAGAGAAGCACAAGGAGTTCCTCTCCAAACTCGTGACAAGGTTGTTGTAGGCTTGCAACTACCAACGGTCAGAGTTGGAGAGACAGTACCAGGACCTGACGCAACAGCATCAGGAATTGGCGACGCTCCGCCGCACACTGCAGAGCCACGAGGATGCAACTCGGGCACTCAATGCCCGATTGTTGGACCTGGAACAGGCTGTACCAGGACCAGCTGCTGGRGCTTCCAGCAGTGCACCCTCTAGCCGCCAACTGGAGGACCGCGTTGACCACGTAGTGGCAATGCTCGGCGACATCAGCACTTTCGCTGCGCCGACCACCACCATCAGCAGTCAGCTGCATACATTGAAGACCGAGGTCCAGCAGCTGCAGACGACGAATGCGGATGGCAACCCGAAGATGTATAAGATGCCAACTTTCAATCTGGAGAGGTTCAGCGACTACACGCAGCAGGATCCGGTCCTCTGGTGGGAAGCATTCACAACACAACTCAGGATTCTGCCCGTAGCCAAGCATGCGTACATCGGCGCCCTGTTCTTGAACTCAAAGGGCGGATGCCAGACCTGGTTGAGCCACCTGGCAACCTCCCACGGCGTCGACGTACCAGACTTGAAGGACAAAATCACATGGGAGGAACTGACACGGCTGTGGAAGAAGCGGTTCATCGTCGACGACGCGCCGGCACTCGCCATCAACCGTCAATTCACCATGTCACAGGGCAACACTTCAACACGGGACTGGCTCACCGAGTGGCAGAAGATTGCGGCAGTGCCCAATCTGGACCTGCCTTTCACTCATCTCAGACGTGAGTTCTACACTAGGTCCTGTGCGGCATTGAGCCAGGCTCTTGGTGATCGCGAGCAGTACTCAACCTTCGCTGAAATCATTGACAAGGCGAGGGAGATCATCAAGACCAACAGGTCAGCTGCACACGAGAAGTCACCATGGCAGCCGACCTATGTGGAGAAGGTACGAACTGGTCCGCGACAACAGCACTTCGCTGCAGTCCAGCAGGATAGTGGAGATAACCCAGCAGCCACTCCAGYATCAAGTGACGGAGATCAGATGGCTGCTGTCCAGCCGCGAAGCAACAACAAGTCCCGCAACAATGGGAAGGCGAAATCCGCATCGCAGGCCGGAAATGGACAGCCAGTACAAGTTCCATGGGTCAAGTTTGGCTTGACCGAGGCGGAGTACAAGGTCCGYGGCCGSKAYGRCAGCTGCTACTGGTGCAACAGCACCAAGCACAAGACCTCCCTGTGCCAAGATCAGGGCAAGGAGAATGTGCGACCCCGCCTCAGCTCGGGAAACTGAGCTCCGCGGAAGGTGAGGCGACTGCACCTTCTACTCCGCCAGATTCGGCCGCCTTGCTAGCGGCCTCCTGCACATCTGGGGAGGTTGCGAATGTCGCAAGTCCTCGGTATACTTACGAGGGTTATGTTGTCCACTTGGTTCCACCGCTGGACCAACCGCTCCACGTGCAACAGTCCACCGCATGCATGGTTTCATCATCATCGGCAACCGATTCGGCAGCTTCGCCGCAATCTATCGCCGGGGATTCGACGTCATGGTCAAGACTTGTAGAGCTCGACCCGTTGACGTTCACGGACTTCAGTGGATGCTCGTTCCCTCGACCGAACGATTGACGAAACCTCATTGCAATGTGCTCATGGCACAACTGCGAGACTACTTGCATACTGCAGTACCAGCTCCGTTGATGGACGCCGAAGCAGAGGTTGTCGACCTTCACGCTTACATCGCGAAGATCTACCGCGAGGTCAAGACGCAACGGTACGACGACATCGACGTACCATTGCTATACGTACGCATTCAGATTGGAGAGGCAACCTGCAGTGCCTTGATCGGTTGCGGAGCGTCTCGCAACTACATCAGTCAGGACTTCATGGTGCGCGCCGGCCGTGGCCCACGCGTCTGGAGGAAGTCCCAACCTACACAAGTCACGTTGGCGGACGGTCACACGCACAAGTCAATCGACCGGTGCATTGACAACGTCCCAGTGTACTTTGCCCCTCACGCAAGTGAGGCGGTGTCCTTTGACATTCTGGACACCAAATTTGACATGATCTTGGGCATGTCATGGCTGCGAAGCGAGGATCACCCGGTGAACTTCTTTCACCGCACCATTCACATTCGTGATCGGAACGGAGTACTAGTTCCATACACGGTGACTCTTCCTCATCCTTCGATCAGCTGCCACGTGGTATCCGCCGCAAGCATGCGAGCTTCCATCATCAGAGACGACATCGAGGAGATGGGGGGGTGTTTTCTCCACGCCCTCCCGTCCCATGACGCTTCATCGACGGACTCACCTTCGGATCCACGCATCACCGAACTTCTCGACGCCTACAGCGACGTGTTCGAAGGCCCGCACGGGGTAGTACCGGATCGACCCATCTGCCACGAGATCATCCTCGAGGACGGGGCCGTACCTCCGCGCGGTTGCATCTATCGAATGAGCGAGGAAGAGTTAAGTGTGCTCCGCGCACAAATCGACGACCTTCTAGAGAAAGGCTGGATTCGGCCTAGCTCATCGCCATACGGTGCTCTTGTTCTCTTCGTCCGGAAGAAGAACAAGGACCTGCGGTTGCGCATCGATTATCGCAAGCTCAACGTGCACACGATCAGGAACGCCGGCCCTCTCCCACGCATCGATGACCTTCTCGAGCGATTGGGCGGCGCCCAGTTCTTCTCTAAGTTGGATCTCAAGTCAGGGTACCACCAACTCGAGATTCGCAAGGAGGATCGCTACAAGACCGCGTTCAAGACTCGGTATGGGCATTTCAAATGGCTGGTCATGCCATTTGGCCTTACGAATGCCCCAACCACTTTCCAAGCGGCTATGACGACGGAGTTCTGACACATGCTGGATCGTTTCGTACTTATATACCTCGACGACATTCTAGTTTACAGCCGGAGTTTGGACGAGCATGTGGAACACCTGCGCACCGTTTTGGAGCGGCTACGACAAGCCAAGTACAAAGCAAACCGCGACAAGTGCGAGTTCGCACAG